AAAAAAAAAAAAAAAAAAAAAAAAAAAAAAAAAAAAAAAAAAAAAAGACAATAATAATTACAAGAATCATCGATAAAAGAAGTGAGAAAAAAAAAGAAAAAAAAAATAATAATAATAATGATAATAATAATAAAAGAAAAGAAAATAATAATAATAATACTAATACAAGATTCTTATCAAAATAAAAGAAGAGGAGAGAAAAAAAAAAATAATAATAATAATAAAAAAAAAAATAAAAATAAAAATACAATGATGATAATCTGAAACAAAAACCAAGGCATGCTATAATATTTTATAAGCTTGCATGAAGTAGTCCAGTAGCTCCTCGAGGTTGCGTTTGTCCATTTTCAAGGATTTCAGCTCGTGACCCATCCTTAATTCCGTCAAATGTCTGGCGTAGATGGTTGCTGGACAATGAAGCACGACATGTTCAACCGTTTGCTGTTCCCCACAGGTACATCGGTCGCTTGTCTGGATGTTCATTTTATTTAGATATGTTGCGAATTTTCCATGACCACTCAAAAATTGCGTCTGGATATAATTTGGTATGAACTTGCATTGTTTTCGGTCATTGATGGTGGGGAAAAATGACGCTGTTGTCCGACCTTTGAGAGAGGTGGTCCATCTTTCGTCCCAGTCCTTGTTTAATTTGATTTTTGCGATTTTTAGTCCATGTGATGTTGGTATTAGTTCGTAGTCGATAGAAGCATTTTCCGTAGCTTTCTTAGCTAGCGAATCTGCCAGTTCATTGCCCAAGATGCCGACATGGGCTTTAACCCACGTGATACATATATGAGTCGTGGAGTTCTGAATACTTTTTTGTATTTTTAATGCAAGACTGTCACTGGTGTTTCTGCTGCAGACGGCATTAATGGCAGCTTGTGAATCACAGTGTATTTTAGCATCAAGATCTTGCTCGATGCACCAATGTGTTGCCGATAGTATTGCCAGTAATTCGGCCTGGAAAACAGTGCATTCGTTGGCTAGGCGTTTTTTCCCAGTATGAATGATTGCACTTTCTCTCATAGCCACGAAAGCACTGCCAACCTGGTTTGCTATTTTCGAGCCGTCTGTGAAGATGTCAATAGTATGGGATTTTTGACAGTTTTCGATGGATATGTTGGTGTTATTGGCAGGATGTGGTCTGAAGGAGAAAGGTGCTCTTATCTGGAATGATGCTATGGGGAAATTTCCAATGCTTGGAGTCCCTTTCTTAAGAAAATATCTATTGGAACAATAGAGAATCTTTAAGTCAATCGGTTCTATGTTAGCGAGAACAGTTGCTGCGTCTGTAGAGATTGTTCTATAGCCTTTTATTATTGATAATCGTTTACTAGAAACATAGCTATCTTCAAATCGAGCAAAACAAAATATAAGCTCAACATCTTGCCAAGAAGAACAGGCGTAGGTAAGAATTGGCTCAATAGCTGAGATGTAGATGGTTCTACGAACTTCACTAGATAAACCCCATTCTTTTCCCGTTGTTCTTAATATTTGATGATATAGCCTGCGTGTTTTGTTGGAGATGAGATCAAGATGTTGGTTCCATTTATTCTTATTTTCGATGATAACTCCGAGGTATTTCATATGTTTCACGATATCTATTGTAACGCCTTTCATCTTAAGATCGATTTGTCTTGTTTTTCTTCTCTTGGTGACAAGCATAGCTTGTGTTTTGCTCGGGTTGAATTCAATTTTATTGTCTTCACCCCATTTTGATATTTTTTCCAGTGCTTTATTAGCCCGGTTTTCACATATGTCGAGGTTTTCATGAGATACAATCAAAAACGCATCATCGGCGAATGCTTGGATATAGCAGTCGTTTGGTAGTCGCAGTTGAAGAAGGTTGTCATATAGAATATTCCATAAGAGAGGAGAACATTTTGCCCCTTGAGGACAGCCTCTGCTCAGCGATTTTTCTGATGTTTCTCCACAAATTGATAACTTTGCTTTCCTGTTTGTGAAGTAGCTTTTGAGAATATCAATAAGATTATTAGGAATGTCGAATTTTTTGAGAGAGACAAGGATCAACGACCACCATGCCGAGTCGAAAGCTCCCGCTACATCGAGCGAGACAAATAGACCGAATTTGTTGTTGTTTAAGATTTCTTTTCGTTTAGAGACGATGATATTTATCGCATCTTCTGTTGATCTTTGTGGTCGAAAACCGTATTGTTGATTGGATAGACCTGTTGGATGTTTGTAGATCCAAAATAGAAGACGTTTATATATTAATTTCTCTAGGATTTTTCCGGTGACAGAAAGAAGACTGATCGGCCTGAATGCTTTAGCAGTTTGTAGATTTGAACCAGGTTTTGGTATGACTTTAACGATAGATATTTTCCATCTGTCCGGAAATATGGCAAATTTGAGACAAGCATTAAAGATGTTCAAGAATAGTTCAGGGAAAAGATAGCTGATATGTTTGATAATGTTTGCCGAAATTGCATCTTCACCAGGACTTTTGTTATCATTTTCGGTTTGTATAGCGTCATTAACTTCTTCTAAACTGAATAAAACATCGTCTGGAGCTGTACATGCAGTTTGAGCGGCTGATGAAATAAGAGATTGAGTATGATTGTCCGGTGGATCATTAGGAAAGAATTTATTAAGCAGGTGATTCGCTGTATCTAGTGGTGTTGTAGTCCAACCATGTTCTGTTTTTATTGATTTGAGACTTTGATTGAGATTTGCTGGGCTCTTACACCATTTGTACACTTGCTTCCATACAGATGAGCTGTCTTGAATGGTGAAAAATTCTCTGATAGATTTCTTTTTAGCAGCGATGAGTTGAAATTTGTATTCTTTGACACAGATGATATATTGATTGAGGTAGACTTCTCTGAGAAATTGGTTGTTTGAACGCTTCCATTTTCGTCTTAGTCTTTTACATAGTTGGTTTTTCTCTTTGAGCTCATCAGTGAACCAATAGATGGAACGCTTTCCGGATCTTTTTGGAGGAAGAGTACGTTCACATATCGTAATTATGGTGTCGGTTAGTGAATTAACGAGATCATTGACTTCACACGCTGATTCTAGATGTTTAGATCGTCTATTATAGAAAGCTATTTCTTTAGATGCTGTTAAGTTGAAGTTGTCCCATTTTATGTTTTTTGTTTTGAACTTTCTAGTGATTGAGCATCCATTTAGCGGTTTCGAATTTAAGAATTGAAAACTTATAAGGTTGTGGTCAGAATGCGTTATTTCACTATGCACTTTCCATTCATTCACGAGATGTATAGCTTTGTTATTGACAATTGTAATATCTATAAAGGTCGCACTATCACCAGCTTCCCTTGTGGGAGTCATGCAGTCGTTGAGGATGATGAACTGATTAGATGATATGAAGTTGAAGATTGCTTCGCCTCTATGATTTGTAGTATCACTACCCCAGGCTGGATGCCAGCCATTAAAGTCGCCGGTGATAATGATTGGAAAATGAGAATAATGGGAGATGATTCTGTCGAGATGATCGAGGTCTTCCTCAAGACTAGTGTCTGTTGATGGGGAAGAATTAGCTTTTTCTAGTGGAGCGTTTGGTGATAGGTATACGGAGATCAATAGAAAAGGTTGTTGATTATTTACAAAGACACAAGAACAGTTCGTCGTGGTGAATTGTTGAATTAGAAGTAGGTTAGGCAACGTGGTTGCGATCACAGATTTTGGATTCGGTGAAGAGAGAACACTATACCCTGTTAGTCCACAAACTCTATCACTGAATGTATAGGGCTCCTGTATGCAGAGAACAGGGCTCCTATACAACTCCGCGTTGATCAGTATCTGTTGAGTGCCTGCTCTGGAATGCTGGACGTTTTGGCATAAAATAATGATCGGTTCATCCATAATGGTAGTATTTAGTGGCTGAGGCAATCTCTTTCTGGAATTGTGGACATCTTACATTGAAAGCTCGATGAGTTGTGTTTACTATATCACTAGAAGCGTTGTTTTTGTTGTTTGTCGTTTTGGCTCGTTCACAATTGCAGCATTTGTAAGAGGAAGATTTACAGTCTTCGGTTTTATGATTACCCGAACAGTTTGCACAGGTGGTAGGATTTTCACAGTTATCTGCATTGTGACCAAATCTATAGCAGTTGTAACATTGCAATACGGAGATTCTGTTTTTGACATGACAGGATTTGTGTCCAATGAATAGATATTTCCCATCGATTATCATCTTCCATAACTTAGGAGAAGTTTCAAGAATAGCAAATTTGGTGCCAACTCTATCTTCTTTGTCAAATATTATTTTCATGAATTCTTTTTTGTCTTGCTCGAGCAAACTAGCGACATTAGGATTTTGAGCTATTATGAAGGCGACGATTTCTTTTCGTGATATGTCTTTTGATATACCGACGATCATGATGCGCGGGTTCTTTTTGACAGGTTTTTTAGCCAGAATCATATCATCGTCTTTCAATATACAACAGATCTTTTCAACATCTTTCTCCGAGTTGCATTTTATAATACATTTTCTACTGCTGGCTGGCTGGAATTTTTCAATTCTCAAGCCGTTGTCGATTGTTGTCTTGATATTGATTTTCTCTTTAGCTATTGCAACAGTTTGGTTCGAATCTTTGGATATACTATCTTCTTTAGGTGAGATTATCACAACGTGGTTGCTTCGACGGGTTGAATTGATTTGTTCTGAGATGTTAGCTTTGACCATATCACTATAGGATTTCGATGTTTGAACAGTACCGATGGAATTGACTGCTTTACCGATAATTTTGTCATAGTTTTGAGCTTTGACTCTAATAATTTCATCTTTTAAATTCACTATTTCTTTTTGTTGCTGATTTGATAGATCTTTCAGTTGTTCATTCTCTTCGATTGATTTCTCCAGTTCTTTTTGTTGTTGATCGAATAGAGAGCAAAGTCTTTCGTTTTCTTCCGATTTGTCACTTGATGTTGAAGTTGCATCTTCCACAATTGTAATTATCTTTTGAAAATTATCTTTATGATCGTTGATCGTTATTTTTGTATTGCCATGAATGTTTATCAATTTTCGTAAATAATCAAGAGCTTCACTCAACGTGGTTGGTGAGCTTGCCATTTTTTTCACTTTTTTCGGTTGATTTTGATGATATACTGTTGAACCAGGTATCAAAATGTTCAGAAAGCTTCCGGTTATCACTTTAGCTCTAAAAAGAGCTGTTTTAAAAGATTTATCGCAAAAGAGACGAGAAAAACGCAAAAGATTTTAAGAGAACAAAGAAAAACACGTGTGCTCGCATTCATTATCATCATATCACAATCATAATCACACGCAACAACACTCAATCAACCATCAATCTGACCGTCAAAACAGTTGATTTACAATTGATTAACAATGATCATGATTGACATTAAATCCATAAATTTTTCTCTCTCTTTCTCTCTCTCTCTTTTTTTTATCTCTTTCACTCTCTCAATTTATGGCCTGGTAATCGATAAAAAGACCAATCAATTATTTAATCAAAATCCAAAATTCATTGATTGATTGATTGATTGATTTGTTTCGTTCAAGTTCCACAATAATAATGATCATCATCATCAATGGCTTTTTATTGATTCGTAACATTTTGAAAGTAAAAGAAAAAAAAATTATAAAAAATCAGCCCTTTTTTTTACCCGATGTGGATATATACCATGGTAGAATAATGTAATAGACAACAACAACAAAAAAAAAGTTGAAATGTCAATTTTTTTTTTAAAAAAACAAAATCTTATCTTCATCTTTAACCAAATAGAACATCATGTGATGTAATGTTTTTTTTTATTTTGTGATGATTATGATCATGATCATCATGATCATAATCATTTTTTAATAGAGAGACATATAGCGTTTTCGAATGAAATCAATGATTATTATTGCCATTTCAAATGTACATTTTTTTTCTTTTTTACCTCGTAATCGCATTATGATTCTTTTTGTGGATAAATATGATGATCTAAGATTCCTGAGATTCACATTTTTTTTTATTGCACATCTAAAATACTATATTATCTTGTAATGATCATAATTGGATATTATCCAATTTTTAATATGTTATTCGTAAACAACTTCTTGAGCTGAAAAACAAAACAATTCTTGTTAAAAAATATAAAGATAAGCGGATTTACAATTATATCATTATATATTGTCAATTGATATGGCGATATGGTTCGACATTTTTTCAAATCAAACTTGATTCGATAGCAATAGATGTCACTACTAATTACAAAAAAAAACAAGAATTCGAATCACATGTGATTTTTTCTGATGATGATGATTAATTTTAGTTAAGAAATTTTTCAAAATTATCATCAACAACAACGATGATACAGCTTAATCAAGATCAGGTAAAAAAAGAACCAATCGATCAAGAAGAAGAAGAACCGATTGTCAACAACAACAACGATAATGATATTATCATTGCATCGGTAAATTTATTTATTGTTTAAAATGTTTGAAATTTGAAAGTTTTATTTTTTTGGTATTTGTTTATTTCAGTATAATATTGTTCGATTAGATCCAAATAATAAAATTAAAACATTTGCATTGGCTGGACTTGACAATGTGATTGGTAAACATGATCGTCATCGATCATCATCTTCATTTTGTGATATAAGTATTCGAACCGATTCCAAAGAACTTAAAATTACACCCAAACAAAATCATTGTTCCAAGGCCGTTTTTACTACCAAAGAATCTCAGCTTAATCTTCGTCGCCAATCGTATGCAGTGAAATTTTCCAGAGAAACAGGAAAAGCATATTTTATTCCAATCAATTCGATGCATACATTAAGTCATTTGGATGAAAAAAATCGTGATAGTAATCCTGTTGATTCACAAAATTTGATTTTTGAAGATTGTTTCAAAATACCACATCCAACACGTAATAAACATGATCAATTAAGTGTCGAAATGAAAAGCCATCTTTATAAGCCTTTAACACGAATAAATGATCCAGAAATGGTAAGAAAATTTTTCGAACAATTATTTACATCGATGCCAGCAAGACGATCATCATATGATCAAAATGTTGGTATACAACAACGATCTTCGATGCGTATGTTATCAAACTCAATGAATAATAATGGTAATCGTACACAACAAAACACCGTTATGGAATTAATCAATTGTCCATATTGGTTTTTGAATAAAATCAATATTTGTGATATAAATCGAATCGAATTGATTGAATTAAAAGTAGAAATATTGATGCGTAAAGTACAGGTGATACGTTTCGCTGAAATGATATTGTTATTTCATTCGAATAATTATTATTCCGATTTGGATCATCATTCAAAATTATTGAATACATTACAAAGTATTTGTTATTTAATCGATGGCAATTGGGTCATAAAAAGTCATTTACTATATAAATATGATACAATTCATGATAGTGATTGTCGACAATTAATAATGAAACGAATGATTGCTGCACGTGAATTTTTATTATGGCATTTTGCTCATCAAAAACCGTTAAAAATGATTGAAATAATCGATAAATTCAAGGTTAGTTTTGTTAATGATTTTATAGTATAATAAAAAAAAGTATGCTATTTTTTTTGCCCCATCATCATGATCATTTTAGAAAATTGCCGATTATGAACAAATATTAGATAGATTGACCATTCGTAATGTTTCTACTAGCCAAATAGATTTCATACTTGAACCTGATTCAGATTTTATTACAACGTAAGTTCATTCATTTGGAAAAAATATGAAAAAATATAATTCGTTCATTTCAAAATGAAACAGATATCCAATCATCACGAAAAAACATCATGATCGTAGTCGTGATCTATTGGCCAACAAACTTAATGAACATCTGGCTATTTTAAATTCTTGAATTTTTTGTTTTCTTTTTAAAATTTTTAATTAATTAAAATTATAAATCATATAAATGATTAGGTTATTAATTCTACAATTAAATACAATACTTAGTTAAAATAATCAAATCAAAAGAAAAAAATTCATACATTATTGAATTGAATAAGTTTGGGAAATTAAAAAATCACAAGTTTCGTTCAACGAACAGCGATAAGCGTTCGGGAAAGCAAAAAGGCACACAATTATATTCATTGCCATAATGATAATAAAATAATCATTATTAGATGGCAGCCAATATAAAGCTCAATTATAATCGATAATGATGATGATGATGATGACGAGGATAATGAATCAAAACCAGACGAAGCGGGTAATGATTGACCATGTAATAAATGTTGATTGGATTGCGTTTTTTTCAAATTTTTATATGGTATATGTTGCCGCCCATTATTTTGTTGATCCAGATTATCACTCATTTTTAGACGTCCATTATTGAACAATGATGTCAGACTATGGTTATATATTCGGCCATTATCATTATTATTATTATTATTGTTGTTGTTGTTGAAAACTGGAGATATAATGGGAAAACGTAGACAAAATTGAATTGAAAAAGGATTAGATTGATGAAAATGAAAATAATCAATAATGTGCGATCTCCATATATGATTGACGATTTTAAAACATGCATATCAATCCAAATTCAATCATTATAAATGAGGTTGAGAGGTAAAGCATGCACAGTATATTTGTTTGTATTATGTCATTTGATATGTTGTGGTTGATATATAAAGATGATTAAGGTGTTAAGACCATTTTTGTGTTGAAAAATGATCTTTACGAATTGTACGGTATTGTTTAGCAACAGTGCAGGGAGGGAAGAAAAAAGGTTTTTTTTTGTTGAAAAAACTTATAAACATTCAGATTATGATGATAATAGCAATTGTTTATGGGGTGTGTATTTTTGTGAATGAATGAAATCAAGGAAATGGAAAACATTGATCAATAGACTTACATGAAAATCTATTTCTTAATCCATCACTGCCATTATTATGCATTATCATACGATTTGGATAACGTGATGATGGTTGTATATCAATTTGATTATTAGCAAATTCATTCATCATCACTGTCTTTTTTTCATTCAATAATTGTGGTTTCGAACGTTTCGGATAATATGATTGTCCAAATGGATATTCACGAGTACCGTGCATTATTAATCTCCATCCATGTAACAATGTATTATCTATTAAAATAGAATATCCATTAGAAAATGATAAAATATGAAAAAAAAACTACATACTATGTCGTCCTGTACTATTAATGTACAATGTCCATTGACCATTCGGTGATTCACCCCAAAAATGTACAGTCATAAATGGCCAATTTGAAAAACCAAGAACTGAATTATCTTTCGGTCGTTTTGTCAATAATGTTGATCTTGTACCAGCAGGTGAACGAATTTCAATTTCAATATCACCTCGTTTTGGTGTTGTAAGATCGACAACAACTTGAACATGTTCCATATATGCTAATCCATTACATGTTACCTATTCCGAATAAAGAGTAATGATATTTAATGAAATCAATGAAAAAAAAGAAATCACATTAAAAAGTAATACTTACATTCAGTGCGTAAGATAATGTGTTCCTGGATCAAATAAAAAACAAAAAACAAAAAAACAAATTAAGTGATTAAAAGAGAAAGTTCTTTGAATCGAAAAGAGAAAGAGGAAATGTATACTAATCAAGATAAAGGTAAGAGAAAAAAAAATTATTATTCGGATCATAATCAAACTTACTTGGCTTTAAGTAATTCATTAACTTTACCGTTGAAAACACATTTTGTTTGTTCCGGTACTGGTACCCATTCACGAGCATAATCAACCATAGCACTTGCATTGATTAAACCATAACCAAACCAATGACTAACATTTAATCCGGCACCATTTTCCATCCAATTTCCTTCCAAATTTTTACGTTTCGCTGATAATACTACGATATGTTGCATATCACGCCATGTTAAATTATTACTAGAAAAAATGGAATAAAATTTCAGATTTCTCATGAAAAAAATACTTTTTGAGATCATACTTTGCCTGTAAAGCAAGAGCACAGATACCGGCTGCTAATGGTGCCGATGCTGATGTTCCGGTATGTGATGATGTACAACCATGATGAAGATCTGTAGTGACAATTTGTCGTTCACCAAATGAACCACTACTATAAGTACTGGCTAATGTTGCTGAACATGCTTCCGAATACCATGGTATTGATCCTTTTTCAGTTGCCGAACTAATCGATAATGTCCATATGGAATTAGTATAGCCATCACAATTACAATTATCTTTTTCACGACCACCATTGCCAGATGCCCAAACAAAAATTGATCCTTTACCACCACGACCATTACGGATACCATTTTCAAATGCTTTTACGGCCATTTTACCTGGTCCATCTACTGTACGACCATCATCATCTGGTCCCCATGATGCTGAATAAATGTGTATATGTTGAGGATTATAACCTAATGATCTAGCTTCAACAGCATCGGTTACATCACCATCTAACATTCGAATACCACCAACTTTTGCATCAAAAGCAACACCAACTGCACAAACACTATTATTAGCATTGGCTGCTACTTCACCTGCACAACGAGTTCCATGACGATTTGAATCAATAATATCATAACGAGGCATTGGATCACTATCAAATCCATTTACATCATAACTAGCATCAGGATCATAATTTGTTATCAAATCAGGATGATCTTTTTCCAAACCATCATCTAAAATGGTAACAACAACACCTTTACCAGTGATATTTTTTTCCCATGCTTCAACAACATCCATATCAAGATTATTACCACGATTTAGATACCACATTCGTGGCCATTGTGGATCATCAAATTTAACACGTTTACCACCTTGAACAAATTCATTATGATCAAATGGAAATGGTAATAATGGTAAATTATTTTCACATGGAGGTTGTGGTTGTTGTTGTTGTGGTGGTGGTGGTCTCATATAATATGGCACCATATCTAAACGATGAGAATTTGATACTGAATGTGCAGCATTCAAATTCAAATGTGTATTTGAAATGAAATCTCTTTTTGTTCGATGATTAATCGGTTGCTGTTCAATTGATAATACAGATGGATGTTGTTGAAATGTTAATGAATGTTCTTCACCATCATCATCAACAAATTCAGCCGATCTTTTTGCAACTTTTCGATGCATTAAATGATAATAATCTTCGATTATCTAATTAATTTTTAAAGTAAAAAAAACAAAAGATCAAATTAATTAATATTATCTATTTTTAAATCACAAACACAGCACATGATTTTAATCATATGATTCTAATCTGGAGTATTTTTTCCAATGATAATACCATATATAAACAAAGACATGTTTTTTCTGTATGTTTTTTATTTTTGGGATAACAACTAAATAATTTTGTCAAAAACAACAACAACAAAATCCCCCAAAAAAAGTATTGAATAAAAAAAAATAAGAACGGGTAAAATCACCAATATCACCACCAATCATTTTACTTGTGCCAAATCAATGTTTTTTTTGATGAAAAACAAAAAAATGGGTCGATATCGATTATATCGATATATATATGGTTTGGTGTATATCTATCGAACCAGAACCGAGATAAGTTTTTTTTCAAATTTCAATATATTTGAATGGCTATTGGAAATTTTATTTTTTGAAAACAAAAAAAAATATCCTAGTCTGAAGATAATTTTTTTTTTGTTCACCAATTTGACAGATACAAGCTTCAAGTTTTTTTCCAAATAGCTATTATTAGCAACACAAAATCATCGAATATTGTTTTTTTGGTTAGACAAAAAACAAACGACCAAATCAATCCGATTTGATGTTCCATTTTCATTCATAATGGTGTTTTATTAACGATATCTAAAGATATAAAAAAATGTATGATTTGGATGTAAAGAGCACATTTTTAATAATCATTATCATCATCATATACCCTATATGTGTAATTTATCAAATCATATGATTTGTCATTCAATTCAATGGAATTTGGATGTTTGTTTTTTTTGTAGTATTTGGCAAAATGTCAAACTGGAAAAAAAACACAAGAAAAAACCAAAAACAAAAATAAATCATTCTAAAGAATCAGATGTTTTTTTCAATGGAGAAGAAGGGGCAAAATTCTATAAATAACATTGAGACAAACAAGGTCATTATAATTAGAAAATTTTTAGAATTTCTTTTCAATAATGAAAAATCAATTGACCAGATTGTAAAGTGGTTGTTAATTACATATTTCTTTTTCTCGCTAATGATGTTAATGATTGTGTGTGTAATGATGGGGTTTAACAGCTTTTCTTATTATGGATGATGAACTGAGAAATAATCGTGAGAAATAATTATGGGATAAACGTAGCAGATGTGTGCAATTTTTTCTTAAGATTGCACTGGTGTCCAAATCATCTGAATCAAATGATGTTCAATGACATAGGTAAACAATCGGAAGTGGTAATCATTATAAAGTGAGTCATATTTATTAATTAAATAGTGATGTCAAAAACAAAAAACAAAAACAAACATTGCAATCAATGAAATCCTAGGATATTGTTTACTTATTAAACAACAACAATAAAAGTTTATCAATCTAATGTAATAACAAGTTGTGTGTTTTAAAAAGAAAACACAAACAAAAAACATAACGTCAAATTCAGAAAAATAAGGAAAATTCACGCATTTTCTGCTCTCTTTTTGATTTACTTTACTTTGATTTATTAACCTAGATAGATTTATCATTATCAAACATCCATCCAAATACATCTTTTTTTCAATGTTCTCAATTCATTTTTCTCTTTCTTTTTTCGTTTCAAGAAATCAAGAAAACCTGTGTTTATGACCTACACGTAACATGATTAGATCATTCATGGCCATTATCACATACACAGACATCTTTAATCAGACATCCTTTTTAAGAAAAAATAAAATCAATTTTTTTTTGATACAATATGCGGAACTGGATTAAATTTAACCAAAAAAACAATTGAAAAAAAAAGAAACTTACATGTCCTAAATAAGTAAAACCATGATCATTAGCTAATTGACGAGCTAATTCATCACCACCATGAATTTGTACAACAAATTGATCACTTAATAATCGTTTTGAACGATGATGATTATGATGATTTTGTTGTAGATTTAACAATGATGATGATGATGATATTGATGGATCATTTTCATTTGATGATGATACTGGTTGAGATCGATGTTGTAATAAATATAAATTTGTTATATTTACATTATTATCATTAATCGGATGAATGGAACGACAATAACAATATAATGTTCTATAATGAACAAATGAACAAATCATTATTAATGTTATCAATATTGATAACCAAACACTATTATTTTTTGATTGAATTATTATTCTGCCATTTGGATGATGATTCGAATATTTGGATATATAGCTGTTGTTGTTGATATTTTTGGACATGATGGTTGAAGTAACCAATTTGATTGTTGGATTTAGATCACAATAATGATGATTATCATGTTGATGAATTTTACAAGATGGTGATGATTTTGAAGTGAATAACGTCCACATTCTGATTCTAATCATACAACAGCAACAACAAATGAATGAATGAATGGTAGGTTTATTTTGAAAACAATAACATTGTCAAATGATGATGATGATGATTTGTCAAAATGATTTGGTAACAACAAAAAATAGATTTTATATTTCCCTTTTGGGATGAAAGAAGGTGGATGAAGGAGAAATTTTCTCTATTAAAATTATCATAGCAAAAATGTAGACGACGACAATTACAAAAAACACTTGTAAGATACACTATTTTGCGTTGTTGGATTATATATTAACCATAAATATCGCATAAACGTAATTCAATCGCATGAATTGCGATTCTACAGCCAAATTCTATGGATTCTATTGGTTGTTTTGATCAGAGTTTAGTTTGAATTCTTTGTCAAAAAAACAAAAACACAATAACAATATACAGCACCAAATGATATCAAATCGAATCTTTGAATGAAAAATCTTTTATTCGACGTTCGATATTTGTTGTGTTTTTGCTGTTTTTGTTTTTTTCATTGACTCAGGTCACACAACAACAACAACAACAACAAACAACAAACAACAAACAAACAGACACATCGAAAAAACGTCGACGACGACGATCAAAGGCGCAAAAAACAAAATTTGTTCGTAAAAAAGCAAAAAAAAAAGAAGAAAACTTCAAAAAATTGAGCTAAGCCAAAAATGTTCGAGTGCTGTATTCGATCGAAATCTTGTTATTATTTTTGTTGGCCCAGCTAGCGAGGAGAGAGAGGGAGAGAAAAAGAGGATATATCTCAAACAGACAGACAGCCGAATCGAACGAGATTTGTGAACAAGAAGCATGATCCCGAATCGATGGTGGTTGTGGTGGTGGTGGTGGTAGTGGTTAGAATACCTTCGATCTTGGTATCTTGGACCACTACCTGAATAGGATTTTTTTTTTGTTTATATTCGGATAGTGGTAGTGGTATAGTAGCAGAAAACTTGTTTTTTTTTTTGGATTCGAATTCGAATTCTTGTTCGAATGGCCTTTGGCCTTTTTTTTCATTCGAAAAAAAATGTCGTATGATGGATTTACATTCTTTTTAAAATATTAAAAGAATCCGGATTTTTTTAATGATAAAAATCTCTAAAATCTTTAATTATCCTCATTAAGCCAAGTATTTTTTTTATATAATTAAAATCAAAGAGATAATTATGATTATCAAGGTGTACAAAGGTACATCTTTCAATTACAATGTTCCATCCGAATGTCATTGATTTTTATTGATTCCAAACATTATTTCATAAGAAATCATCATAAAAATCAATTTTGTCATCATCATTTTATAATGATCATTATGGGTGCTATTGCGACAAAAAAAAATGTCATTATTGTCGTCGTCGTTGTTGTTGTCATTATTGTGGTTGCTAAATTTTCCATGTAAAAAGAGAGAAAAAAAAAGGAAGATGTTTCATATTTATCTTTTCATCATCATCATCATCAATGTTCCAGGATCAAATGTCTTAATCTCTCTTTAATCTTGCAAAACTTTTGTATATTTGTTTTTTTTTGTGTATGACTTTTAGAAAAAAAATCGATTAGATTCGCTTTTGAAAAATCGGAGATGAAATGATTTTTTTTTTTGAATAGCAAAAAATTAATGTTTAGCAATCATAATTATGTTTGCAGAAAAAAAAATGGAAATGAAAATTGAAATTTTAAATTTTTTAAAAAAAATAATTCAAATTTCGAAACATTTTTTTTTCTTCATTCGGTCCTGTCGTTTATGAATGTTTCCCTTGAAAAAAAATAAGGCCATATGTTTTTTATTTGATGAGTTTTTTTTTCGAATGTTAATTTTTTTTTGTTAAAGTTCCAAATTTCACCACAATAACATCGAAAGGAAAAAAAAGAAGAAAAAAATGGATACAATAATGACAAATGTTGATGATGATAATGATGGATTATCACCGAAAATCGAATCGAATATAAACGAAACGAATCTTTTGCTATTCTATCTAGTCACTTCGGCAAGTTTATTTAGTGCATTCATACCGACCATTGTATCGTTGGTAAGTGATTGACATACAAAAAAAAGAATACGTTTTAAATTGAAATTGTTTGTTTTGTTTATCATTATTCAATCAGCTATTAAGCCTATTAACATGGGATAGTCAAATGGAACAATCATTAAAAAGACAGGCATCCGATTTGAAAGAAGAACTTGGTTCAATAAATATGACCGATGAATTTGCTAAATATTCAAAAATACAAAGAAAATTATTAAAAATAACGGATGAATTAAAGAATAAAAGTAAGTTATGATTAATGAAATAGAATGATGATAGTAATGTTAATTTGTTTGAATTTAATTTCATAGATAATCGACAATTTATTTATCAAACAAAAACTCGAATCATATTGTATGCTATTTCATATGGAATATCTGCTATTGCATTTTTAACTATTCATTGGACATATCATGGACAACCAGTACTTATTTTTGATAATGATCATCATTCCATTGATTTATTCTATCCATTAGGTCCTTTATTATCATTTTCAACCGGTCATTCAAGTACATTAATTACATTTGCCTTTATCAATTTCATTCATTAATGTTATTTTGTTTTCATTTTTTTTCAACAGATTGTCTAAGCATAACGGCATGGTTTTTTATTTCTGGTTTTGTTTTTCGAATGTTGGTTCGAGGATTATTCTGATCTCTTTATTATTATTTTTTTTTTGGTTAAAAATTATTCATTTGGCTCCATCTGTTATTTATAATTTGGACTGTAATATTTATTTAAATACAAAATCGTCAGATGGCTCCAGCGATATCATTGTTAATTATCGAAGATGAATGGAAAGAAAATCAATTTTTGAAAATTGGACATTGACAAACGAAAAAGTGGTAAAGCATGATATCGATCGATCAATCAATCAATCATTATAATCATTATATGAAATGAATGAACACAATGACCAATATACAGATAGATAGATTTCATTCATTGATACCGATTTTTATGTTATGTTATACAATCACCTTACCCTAAAACTCACTTTACATGCAAATAATAGTGACATGTGACCTTCAATAAAAAAAATGAAAAAATGCAATTGAAATAAACAAAAAGAAAACTTTACCGTCTGTGTATATATGGTGAATATAAATAAGGAAAAAAATCATCAACAGATTCTTTCTGACAACTTTATTTTTTATTTTTTTGGTTAGGTTAGGTTAGGTTTATTGCGCGCCAAATTTTTTTTTTACACAGAAACAATAAGTATGGCTAAAACAGCAGAAACTAGGTTTTTTTCTCATTGAATTTCGGACAGAAAAAAAAGACTGCTGATGATGACCATCTGGGCACGTCGTCGTCGTCGTCAATGTCTGTATGATTGCTTGACCATGATGATGATGATGATGATGATTTTGTCTGGCTGCTCTTGTCTATATGTTCATATGTAATTTACACCGTTTTTTTTCATATCGAAATCTCTTATTTCACTGCTTTTTTAGTTTAGTTTCGTAGAAGAAGAATATGGGCAACAATCACGCAAAACTAAACTAAATTAAACTAAAATGTAATCACAGCAGCAGTCCAATCAATGAAATAGATGAGTGGCCATCAATGGATCCAAAAAAAAGAAGAGAAAATCCAATGATAATCATGATCCATAAATCTACATAGCTTTCGTTTTGTTTTTGAATGTCTTAATTTTGATTTTGATTTTCTAAACTTATTAAAATTTTTGATCCGATTTTTTTTGTTGGTGGTGGTGGTGTTCGAATGGAAAAAAAAGTCAAAAAAAAAACATTCGAATTCAGTGAAAAAAGTCGATCTTCAACCGACCGACCGAACTAGGCCGATATTCACCATGATCATCAATGATCAACGATACCTCCCATTCTGAGGCTCCACCTCCCTCTTTTCGAATGTTCGAAGATTCGATTACCATTTTTTTTTTTCGATGAAGCAACAAAAAAAGAAAGAAAGAAGATAATGGTGGTGGTAATGGTCGTCGTCATCATCGTGGTTGTTGTTGTTGTTCAAAGATAGGACCTGTTTCTATTTTGATTTTCATCATCATCATCGTTGTCTTCGTTGTCTTCATGGTAAAAAAAAAGCCAAGCAGCCAAACAATATTCGGTGTTGTTCAGTTTGGTTTGAAAATCGAATGATTTCTTTCAGTATTTTTTTTTCTTGATCATCATCATCATCATTATCATCGATTTGCTTGTCCGAAGACCATCATTCAGTCAGTCAACAGTTGAACAGTTTCTTGTTTATCGTGCTGTGTTCACATGTCAACCTGAAAAAATCCAAAATCCGTGTTTGTTTGTTGATTTTTTTTACTTCTTGTTGCTCGTTTGTTTGATGTCTTCATTTTCGTTGATAAGGATAATAATAATAATAATGTAACGAATTTTGGTACTATCGACGATCAAAAACAACCATAACAAAATAATCATCACGAACCATTTTTTTGACTGAAATTATCATAGAAAATGTCATCATTAATAACAATGTTATTACCGGTTAATCATCATCATGGATCATCATTATATCGATATCTATGTACATTATTAATAATCATTTTAAATTATTCATCATCAGCATTTATTGATGCATCAGTTGTTTGTGAAAAAGCACGTATCGATTGTGCATTAAGGTAAGATTAATAATTTTGAATCAATCAAGAAAAACATTGTCTACAACGATTAACAACATTTGCTAATCGATTTGAAAAACCGAAAACAAAATGAATTTGGTTTGTTTTGTTTGGATTTTGAATCGAGAGAAAAAAAAATCATATAAAAAATTGAAACAAAATTCGTTGTTTGTTTTTGCTTGCTTGTGTCAAATGTCAACATCACACCACCATTTTGTCGAAATAGGATCGAATGTTGATTTTTTATTACCCGAACACGACCTTAACAACAACGAAAACAACAACCGATTGATTGATTTTTTGTTTTGCTACAATTTTCTTTCTTTTTCGGGTCAAACAATCAAATAAAATAAAATGAAATGATGATCTCTGACCTGTCGGCAAATCATCCATGTTTGTTTTGTTTGTTTTTTGTTTGTTCTTGATTTTTTTTATTATCGTTGTTGTTGTTGTTTTTGTTTCTAATTTCACGTTCGATAGGTTTCTTCATTTTAAATATTTACATTGACAACAGCAAATAATAAATGCAAATAACAAAGATTTAGAATGACTGTAATGTGTATAATTGAATTAAATCACATCTTTCTTTTTTGTTTTCTCATTTGGATTTTTATTTTTTCCATTAACTAATAGAAATGGCTGTGGATTTGCATTACAAAGTTATATGATGGAATGTATTGATTTAATTGCTGGCCGTACACAAACATGTGAATCACGTTGTAAACATGCATTAATTGGTTTAATATCAACCGATGAAGGAAAAGAATTAATGAATTGTGATTGTAATAATAATAAATATTGTGAATTATCAAAATCACGTTTAGAAATTTGTAGAAAACCAGTATGGTCGGCTATTAAATCGGATACAATTGTATCATGTTCAATTGCACGTTGGATTTGTATTACTGATCAACCATGTCGTACAGCATTAGAATATTATGAACAAAATTGTCATCAATTATTTCAAGGACATAAATGTACAAATCGTTGTAATAATAGTCTTTCAATATTGGATAGACAAGAAAAAGCAATGAAATTACGTACATGTTATTGTGATGGTACTGAAAATTTTCCATGCCGTCGTATTAAATATTTTACCGAACGTATTTGTTATTCAAATCATCATCATCATCATTCTCATCATCAACATCATCATCCATCTGATGGTTTATTACCAATCGATTTGGATAATAATAATCAAATTGAACCAATTGGTCATCAAAGAATACAGACAACAAATGATGATAATAATCAAAATCATGTTAATAATCATAATTATCATCGTTATCGAATTGATTCAATATTTGATCGAATACGTGGTGGTGGTGGTGGTTCAATCGAATCAAATTATTCAACGAAAATTTTCAATCAAACAACAACAATGATAATGATGATTATTATAATGATTATCAGTAGTTTATTTGTTATCAGATGAAAATTTAATAACAGACAAGCACTATTCCCGCGAAAAAACCCTCCATTGAAATGAATTTATCATTTTTATTTTTGTAAATATCAAATTACTACATTTTCTATAATATTTATTAGCAGACAAACAAAATGACAAAAAAAAACTTCTTTTTTTGATTGTAAATAAAATTTTCCAAAAGCAAAAAACAAAATTCCTATAATCTTTTTATACTTGGAACTTATCCTTGACCTTTTTTGCATTTGGCCAAAGTTGGTGGCATGAAGGTAAGGTGATATATTCGGTTTTTTTCGCTTCATCATCCTAATCATCAAGCACACACACCTGTTGCATCGTCATGTAATAATTTTTTGGTCGTGTGCCATTCTTGTGGCCCACCTGAAAATCAAAAAGGTGTCTGATTTTCAATTACATTCGTAGTGAAAAACAGAGAAAAGAGAAAAAGAGTTATTTAACACCTTTGTAAGAAAAATGTCATGTTTGATAAAGACATTTATATATCCATCTCTCTCTCACATTTCATCATAAGATTATCATCTTGATTTGGAAGCAAAAAACATCGACGACGATCAACCAAAGACCACCACGGTAGCTGCTATAGTTTTATAATAGAAATGGATTGGACGGATCATTTTTCTTTTCATTTCTGTTCTGGTTTTTCATTTGCTTTTTTTGGCATTTGCATCATCAAAATGATGGAAAAAAATTTGATGGATTTGAATTTTTTCTTTTTCCCAAAAAATTCAATTCAATTCAATTCAATAATAATTTGGGCTTGAACAAATTGCATCCATTCATTTCTCATTTCAGATACAAAATACATGGTAAAAAAAACATCATCCTCATCAATTGATGAACCATCCATCCATCAGTCATTCCATTCATCAGTTTAATCGCATCAAATATTATATAGGCATAGAGAGAGAGAGAGGTATTACGCGCACAGTGCGAAAAAAACAACGAAACGAAACCGAATCAAGAAAAAAACAGCATTGAAAGATGGATGGATGATTAAATGTGGAGAAAAAACACATAGAAACACATAGAGAGAGAGAGAGATTCATCAAAGACCACACACAACGAATTGAATTATCATTCAAGTTTTTCATTTTCATCTTTTTCTCTATGTTTTTTTTCGTTTTTTTCTGGTTGCGGGAACTGTTGTTGTGCAATCCATGGATGGATGAATATATAGAGATTGGATGTGGATTGAATTGAAATTCATCCATTTTACCGATTGCGCGCGCGAGCGAGGATAATTTTTTTTTTACATCAACCTGAATTTGACCATTGTGGATTGTGTGACGGATTGTAAGATAATTTAGATCATCGACAATACAAATGATAATGATGATTCTTATTATATACGCAGTGATTGCAACAAAAAAAAACGTTGAAAACGCCTAAATAAAATTCGGAAAATCGCCATTGAAATTCAGAAATGTCCATTGTCTGTTTGGTTGATTGTTTATTGTTTGTTTGTTTGTTTGTTAATATCGATGGTGAGGTTGTCCAAGCGTAGGCGCTTATCTATCTGGTGTGTGTGTGTGTGTCTTGGCCCATCCTGGTCAAAAAAATTCCAGAGAATTCATTAATCAGGATTTTTTTCGCGTTAAAATCCTGATTAATTATCCATCATGGATTCTCAAATTTCCAAAATGTAGATCGTTTCTCAAGTTTTTTAAACAATTTTTTTTCAAATATTGAGGTTGGCTGATGGCTGAATGTTTTTCTTTAATTACATGTAAACACAGATCGATGTTCTCGCTCGCTTTCTTTGGAAAAATTTTATCCAGATTTTCGCATTGGCGGTGATGCATGTTTATCGAAAAATGACCCGCGAAATGGATACAAAATTTTCGTTAGTTTAGTCAAACAAACAAACAAACAAAAAGTAAACAAAATTTTTTTTTTGAAACAATTTTTCAATTAAAATCTGTTTGAATTGAATGAAAAACTCGATGAAAACCAACTTCATGAATGAATGAATGAATGAATGAATAAAGTTTTCATTGATGAAAGAAACAAGAAAATGTTAATCTTTTCTGTGGATAAGATGCACTTGTTGTTTTGATTTTACCATATGTTTTTCATCATGTTTAGCAGTGAAAGAAACGAAAAACTATTCTCGAATCTTGAATCTATGAGAAACATGAACATAATACTCGTAGGTTTTTAAGATGTGGCCATTGAGAAAAGATTTCTTGAAAATAGTCTCGAATGATGATGTCAAAGTTGATTTTCATCAACTTTTCTCATTCAAAGTTTGTTAGTTTCTTTTTTTTAAAAAAAGCAGTTAGTCAGTCGAATCAGATTCGAAATGGATCATAATTTATATCGACTTTTTCTTTTCGTTTCGTTTTGTTATTTAGTTAGTTGGTTGCTTTCCAAAAATAAAAAGCAAGCAAGTTTTCCACATGTTTTTACATTGAATAAAAACTGCTTTAATGGTTTTCTCAATGTTGAAAAAAGCGAACTTTATGGTCACACAGAGTAGAAAACAAAATAAAATTGGAAAAACCGTTTCGCAGAACAGAGAATTGAGTAAAATTTGAATTGAGCGCGCATATTTTTTGTTATTCATTAACTGTTTTTTCGTTTTCTTCTTTAGGATTCAATCGAAATAACATTTGTTATCTTGAACATTATGGTCGGCTGGTGGATTGTTGAATAATCAACAATAATAACAACAACAAAAGAAAATAAAAGAAAAACGTCACATAGACAAATCGTTTTTCATGTTTTTCTTTTTTGAAAAGAGGAAAAAATTGGGAACCCTTACCTAAACTTAACCCTAAGATGATTAAGACATCAAAAAAAATGTTTTCTATGAAGGGAATTTCTTTCTTTCTTTTTTTTAGCTACAGGACCCTATGTTATGGTCAACAAATCTCATTCACATTGTTAACTTTTTGTTCAACTGTTTTTTTTTTTTTGACCAAACAATAATTCTCTCTCACTACACTATTGTTCAATTGCAAAAAAAAATCTGAAAATCATTCGACAAATGAATAACAATGTCGATCTAATTTTTGAATTTTTAAACTTTTTTTTCTCGAACATCAAAAATGATTTAAAACTAGTTGGAACATGTGAATTTTTTTGGGTAGAAAAACTTTTTTTTTTTGTAAGCTCGAAAAGTTATTATTGAATAGATACTAATGAGTGCAAATTTAAATAAAAAACAAAAAGCTGCTATAATGGCAGTTGGTAAACAACAATTAGCCGATATAATACGTATGGCATTACAAGAAAAAATGCAATTAAAACGTTTACAATATACAGTACCAGATGTTGGTCAAGTTGTTGAAGAATTAGAAATGAAAACAATAAAACAACCGGAAGAAAAATTAAATGCAATACATAAAGTATCAGTAAATGGACAATTAGTTAGAGTTATGGATGTTATTGAAAATCGTATCATACAAAATGATCCACAATATGAACCATGGAAATTTTTACGTATGAATATTAAAGAAATGTTTGATAAAATGCGTAAAGCAATTCAATCATAGTGTAATCATAAACAAAAATCAAAAATCAAAACTTTTTTTTCCCCATTTCAATTCAAAAATAATAGTCCAGTTTTTTTTGTTCTCATCAAAAACCAAAAAAACCAAATTCTTTTTTCTTCAAAATGATGACGATCATTCATGTTGATGGCCACCATCATCCTTATGATGATCATCATCATCATTTTTCTAGCAGCTGGATATTTCATCCACAGAATAAACAAATATCCATTGATCAATGGCGTGGTATGTCATCATCGTTTACATCACAAACACAGACAATTTTTTTGATCGTGTAGTTCAGCAGCAGCAATCATATCGATTTTGGAAAATTGTTATTGATTGAAAATATGAATATTTTTTCTACCATCAACAACAACAACAATAATCTCATAAATCTTTCCAGCGACTACAACGATGATGGCGTGTATTTTGTATATTTTCAGCTCGAGCATCGATATCATTCATTCAACCAACCAACCAATCAAACAACCAATGAAAAAACATTCAAGTCATGTCATTTTGATTTAGATGATGATGGTCATCATTATTTTCATCATCATCTCAGTGTTTTTCTTCCAAAGCGAAGAAAATTCTTTCTTTCTGCCAAATTTCATTTCATTTCAAACATTCATTTTTGGCTCTGTCTGTCTGTCTGTGTGTAGTAGGTCAATTATAAAAATAGAATGATTCTTTTGAAAAAGAAGAAGTTATTTTTCGCAATTTTTGAATCAAATTCAAAAAATTATTCTCGGAATTTTTTCCGTTGATTATGATGGTTGACCAACAGTGAATGATGGTGGTCATTCGGGTCAAAATAGTTGTTTTTTTTACTGGAATTAAGCGTGTGTTCACACTAGCCAAAAAAAAAAATCGAGAAAAGACAAATCAAATTCACATTCATTCGGGCCAATCGACCAGAACTTTATTGTTCGTTGAGTAAAAGACATTTTTTCTTTCAAACACCAACATTAATGAATGAAAGAGAGAGGGACCCTAAAGTAAAGCAAACAACAATTCCCTAATGGATGATTGAACCAAACTGACCAGATCGATCGATTGTGAATCATAAATCTACAATTGGAAACTTCGAACCATTATCATTGAAAATAATCATTGATAATAATGGTTCGAGGTTCTTCGAATGGAATGCGAAAGAAAAGCCGCTTATCGAGAATTTAACATGTTTTATTTTCGAAAGAAAGAAAGAAAAAAAGAAAATATTGATAACGATTGAATAAGCGCGCGACATCCACAGCAAAAATGAATGAATATAGTCGGTAAAAAGTCAAACGATTTTTTTTTTGGAAATAGTCATAGGTAAAAGGTGATGAAGAAGAAAAAAAAGAAAGGTTTAACACTGGCTTATCCAAGGCAATTATTAGCCAATGGTCATTTAATAACTCAAAAAAAAAAAAATTCACAATGATCGATTAGTGACCGATCGATCGATAACAAAGATATCAATCTAAAAGTTGGCTAATGGCTTTTTTTGCACTGTTTATGTGTTTAAGGGTTAAGTAAAAGTAAGTAAAAGGTGATCAAAACAATAATAAAAAATTGATTGATTCGAACCAAATGAAATGCAGATTTTTCGATCGTGAGAATCAAGACAATAATCCTCTCAAATATGACAATAATCATCATCATTATATAAACATCAAATGTTATTCAGTTTGTTCATCATCATCATGATTTCAACTTTATTCTCATCTTCATCGGACACCTGTTGCTTGTCAGTGTGTTAAAAAAACTGAATAAGAAATTTTCCAGCAACAAAAAGATTCTTTTTGAAAAAATTTCTTTTAAGAAAAAACTAATAATCCAAGATGAAGACATTCATTTTTCACCCAAAAAATAACAACAATCATTCTTTTCTCTGGGCAGAAATAATTGTAGTGTATGCATGACACAAGTGTAAATTCGATAAAACTCAAAAAAAAAACATATTAATGGTTGACCATGAAATTGTGTAATCAAAATGGAATTCTGTGTTTTTTTTTCAGAAGAAAAATAGGAAATTCAAACCATTATCTATCTGTTGTTGTTGTTGTTGTAGAAATAGCCTTGGATTTTTTTTTGTTCTTTTGTTCTTTTGGTGGTGGGAAGAGATGCTGAATATCATCATCATCATCATCATCAATGACCATGACCAAAAATCAAAAAACCAAAACAACAAGATTCACGAATTTTTTACAGCAGAAAAAAAAAGAAATTCCAATCATGAGATCATCATTATCGAAGCGAAACATGTTTCATGATTTTCTTACCTACAGACTTTCAACTTCTCCTGGTAAAAGACTGACTGATGAAAAATCTACTGAAAAAGGTAAGTAATTTAAAACGAAAAGGTGCATCAAAAAAATCATCGTCTTTTTTTTCCCAATGTCAAGTTTGACGTCTCAATCTAATTTTTTTTTTATTTAAAAAAAAAAAACCTTGTCCATATAATTTATGACCAATAATATCACCACCAATATCATCATCATGTATAGTGTTTTACATAGGTTTTTTTTCCAATGTTTTATGGTGGATCACATGTCACCTGTATGTATGTCCGAACCAAAACAAAAATCAAAAAGAAAGAAAGTTTGAATTCTTTTCAATCATTATCATGGCGGAAACCAGAGCAGCATGGCTGGTTAGTAAGTCTAAATTTGGTAGAAGAAAAAACAAAAAAAAAAATTTCAGGTGAAAACTTAATTAAAGTTTTTTCTATTAACTGACTGTTTCCATTTATAGTTTTGTTTCGTTTTGAGAATGTGATGAAAAATTATATCATCGTTTGAAAAACGAGAAAGAAACAACAACAAAGATTTGCCGACAAACAAAAACACCTTATGATCAATTAGCAATTAGAATTCCTATGGTTTTTTTCCCTGCTGGCTGGCTTGATTCTTGTTTTTCTTAATTTTAATTTTGCATCCCGGATGATGATGATGATGATGCGATGGCCGTAATGTAATTTAAAATTTTTTTGAAAATGACAGGCAGGTTTTTGGCCAAGACACCTGATTGTCAATATTGAAGATTGGAAATTTTTCTTTTTCCAATCAACCAAAACAACAACAGCAAAATGTCACATCATCATATCAAAATGATGATGATGATGATGATAGTGGTGATGATCATAGATGGGTCCATCATCAAAACATACCTTATCTCGATCATACGATCACCGATCATTGGGTCGCCTTTCTGTCACATTTTGAAAAACACCAAATAAAAAATTGTGACATCATTCAAAATGTCCATCACCATATTATATGATCACCCAGAACAATTTTATCGACAAAAAATCAAAAAATCAAAAAATCAAAATTTTTTCTGCTGTTCAAAATCTCCCTTCAGTAAAATATCAGTTGAAGAGAAAAAAGCCAAACATGGAATGTCAGTTCAATTTTGGTTTGGTTTCTTTTAGTTTCTTCCATTAGTGTCTGTGTGATTAAGACATTTTCGTTTTCATTGACTGAATTTTTTTTCTTTCTTCTTTCTCTTCTTCTTTTGATTTTTGCTAATCGAAATTTTTTCAAAATCAAAAACGACAACGACCCTACGGCCATTTTTGATTGTTATTCTGGTCAGATTCATGTACAGAAGAAATGAAATAGCCAAAAAGAAAAAATAAGTTCAATTGGCCAATATAATGATTATAGTGTTTAGCGTTGTTTATGTTTATGTTTTGATATGATTCATATCATGTATTTGTGATTGATTGAGTGATTAAAATCCAATCAGATTGTTTTGACTAAACCAATGTTAGCCAGTGATTATGATATTATGACCACCACAACCATAATCATGATGATGATGATTATGATTATAGAATCGGAAAGGATGTTGATGGTAGTCAGTAGAATAAGGTGGATACCATTTATCATTGGTTGATATTCGAATGTTGAAATAATCAAAGATTGATGATGATGATGATGACCAAAGAAAACTAATGAATGGTTTGGGTTAGGTTAGGTTGAAAAAAATGTTCAGGTCAGAAAAACTCATATATATAGGGTGGGTATAGTATTTAAAACCCAAACCAAACAAAATTCATTGTAGTGTTTTTCTTTTCTTTCCGTATGTTGTTAATGTCATTTTTTTTAACGATCAATTTTGACTGTTGATTGACAAAATAAAATTTGGATTATTTGATTGTCACTTTGTGTCACCTTTCTTTTTTTTTTGTCACTAAATAATAATAATGATGGTGATGGTTATATAATTTTTTTTTTATTAAGTCATCATTAAAAAAGGAAAAAAAAAGAAGGAAAAGAAATCTTTTTTATTTTTATTATCAACAGGTTTCCAATGTGTTCAAATGTGTGTGTGTGTGTGTGTGTGGCCAGGGTCCAATAACCTTGAGATTTTATTATTATTTTTTGGAAACTAACAAACCACCTGGCGCCATCTATCGATGATCATTTCAAATTTAACACTGAATTACTAAAGGGGGTTTGAAATTATATTTACCACAAATTTATGCGCGTGTTAATCATTATTTTTTTTTAAATGATTAATTAACATGATTCGATGTTTGTTTGTTTGTTCGTAGATAATGAATATTTGCTTCCTCAATATGATCATTTTAATTGATGCCAAATGTCATATCAGTAAAAAAAATTTGATAAATAAAAGAAGAAAGAAAAAAAAACGAATGTAAATCATTCGAGTACCCAGATGATGAAGATATAATAATGTGTGTGTTTTTTTGGCAATCATTATGAATTTTACAATCGAATGAATAGACAAAATCATCATCAACATGGATAACAAAATGGAAAATGAAAAATTTAATAATTTTTTTGATTTTGAATTATTAATGCAAAAATATCAATCAAAACTATGGACAATTCCATTTATTGGTGGTATATTATTGTTTATTTTATTAATATCTTGGTAAGTAATTATTATTATTAATAAAAATTTCATTTAATTTACTTTCATCAATTTTAAAAAACAGTTATTTAATAACATCATTTGTACGTGGTTATCCATTAATTTGGTTAGTCAGTGATATTGGTGGTTCATCACCAGTAGCCGGTTATTTTTCACAAGGTGTCGATATATTTTGTTTAATGTTTATATTTAGTGCTTATCTTCGTTGTAAACAAGTGGAATATTATATTAAACGAATTATTATACGATCCGATAATCAACAAGTTAATAATCCAAAAATGATTAAAAAATTACAAGAAAAAAATTATCAATCATTTATTAGTGCAATTATTTGTTCAATTGGTTTTATGATGATTGCTAATTTTAATACATATGAACATTTTATTGAACATAGTATTGCTACTGGTTTTATGTTTGGTATAATATTTTTTCTATTATCACAGGTAAACGAATGGTTAAAAAAAAGAAAGAAGAAGGCTAAAATTTGATTAATTGAAATGTTTTTTTTTCTGTTTTCTACTTCGATTCAGACATTTATTGCCGAAAAACTTTATGAATGTAATCAAATTGAAAGTAGACCAATTTCATTAAAAATTGTAACATATATTATTACATTTGGTTGGCCATTAATAACAGCAATATTTGTTTGTTCATTATTATTGAATGGTTCATTATTTGATTGGTTTAAATTGGAACAACGTTTATATTGGCCCAGTGATTCACCAAGTTATCATTTATATCGTTTTGGTGTTATTATTGAATGGTTAGTTATAATGAGCTATTCACCTGCATTAATTATTTTAAGTTATCGTATGCGTTCATTTAAACATTGGAATCTTATTTTTTATTAGAAAAAAAAATTATCAAATTTTGTAATGATAATAATGTTTTCGATTTAGATAAATTAAATTAAAATGAAATGAAATGAAATAAATGAATTTAAAAAAATTTGTTTTCACAATCAAATCTGTAACATATTCATTCATTCTATCTGATGTATATCATTTATGGTTAATATAATTTCTGATTTTGAATGATTGTTTGATTGTTGTATTGATGATTGATCGACATGCATTGATGTCTTTTTTTTGGTAGTTTGGGGAATTTCTTATCATCATATAATAATCACACATTTGCATCAAATTGATAATCAAAACATATGCATGCACCATTTACCAATGTGAATGTACAATGCAAACAGGGAAAAGAAAAAGGAAATTTCGTTTTTTTTCTTCTTCTTCTCGGAATTCGAGTACCCAGTTGATCAAAGGTTTTTTTTGCTTTGGAAAACATTATAAATTAACAAACTTTTTTTTCAACGACATTACAATATTGGCAAAAAAAAATATATCAACAACAAACATGGAAGAAAAATTTAATGATTTTTTCGATTTTGAACGTTTTATTCGACGATTTGAACCAAATCTATGGATATTTCCATTCTTGGGTGGTTTAATATTGTTTTTTACATTGATATTATGGTAAGTGATCGTATTTGCTCTATAAAAAAAATTGTTTTAAAATTAATTTCATTATCTACACAGTCATATAAATCGTAGTATAAGTGCACCAATACATAATAAAACCAACCAGTCACTACAACCACGAGCAACACCTGTTGCCGGATATTTTTCACAAGCAATAGATATAATTGCAATATTACATGTTTTTTCTACTTATCTTCGATGTAAACAAATAGAATATTATATTAAACGTGTTATACCTGAATCAAAAAATCTTAATGTAAACAATCCGGAAACAATTAAAATTTTACATCAAAAAAATTATCAAACATTTATTTATGCTATTTTAAGTGGAATTGGTTTTAATTCAATGGGAAATTTTGGTAGTTTTCAACATCTTGGTGAACATGGTATAGGTGCTACGTTAATGTTTTTAACAATACCATTTTTATTTGCACAGGTATAATGAATTGAATTCAATTTTGATTGGAAATTTTTCTCTTAATTTTTTTGTTTTTCAATTACTTTCCATTCAGAAATATATTGCCGAAAAACTTTATGAATGTGATCAAATTGAAAGTCGTCCAATATCGATGACAATCGTAACATATATTGTTTCAATTGGTTGGCCATTAATATCAACAATATTTGTTTGTTCATTATTAATACATAGTTCATTAATGGATTGGTTTAATCAGGATTTACGTTTAAATTTTCCAAATGATTCACCTGCATTTTATTTGTATCGTTTTGCTATTATACTTGAATGGTTAGTTATTATGAGCTATACAATTATGTTTTTTATAATAACTAAACGTATGAAATTATTTAAACATTGGAATCGTATTGTTTATTAAATAAAATAAAAAAAAATCTTTACAATAATAAAATCAATAAATAAATTTTTTTTAAAATTACAAACATATATATTTGGTGTACCATTTCATTTCAATTTTATCTGCTATCATAGCGCCCTCTTTTGTCGATCAACATATCTCGATGTTCGTAGATTACTTTCATCAATGTACAAATGTTTTTTTTTGTTGTCAAAATTATCTTATCAATGATAAAAAAATGAGAAAAACAGAAGAAAGAAGAACATTTTTTTTTTGTACTGATAATAGAACTCATGTGAATTATGTACATTGAAAATTCGAGAGAACAGAAATGAAATGAAGAAAATCTGATTATTTGAAACAAAGAATTCAAGTACCCAAATATGTTTGAAATCAAGTATATAAATTTTGACATTCAATGAAGAAATTTACATTCAGAAAAATAACAAACAAAAAACAAAAAATGGAAACAAAATTGGAGAAAAATTTTTTCGAATTTGAACGTTTTATTCGTCGTTTCGAACCAAATCTATGGATATTTCCATATATTACTGGTTTATTATTGTTTATTACGTTAATATTATGGTAAGTATTCATTTGATGATTTTCTTTACTTTTAATTATTGATCAATTATTATTATTCTACAACAACAGTTATTTAGTAACATCATTCGTACAAGGATATCCAGTATTTTGGTTGGTCAGTGATGTTGCTGCATCATCACCAGTATCCGGTTATTTTTCACAATCAATGGATTTGATTGCCATACTAGCCATTTTAAGTGTTTATCTTCGTTGTAAACAAATTGAATATTATTTAAAGGAAATAATTCCCGAATCAAAAAATCAACAAGTAAACAATCCAGAAATGATAAGAATTTTAAATGAAAAAAATTATCAATCATTTAATTGTGCTATATTAAGTTCAATCGGTTTTATGATACTTGGAAATTTTGATAGTTTTGAACATCTTATTGGTCATTTTTTTGGTGTTGCATTATTATTTACAACGATACCATTTTTATTAGCACAGGTAAATTGAATTCAATTTTGATTGGAAATTTTTCTCTTAATTTTTTTGTTTTCAATTACTTTCCATTCAGAAATATATTGCCGAAAAACTTTATGAATGTGATCAAATTGAATATCGACCAACAATGTTAACAATAATAACATATACGGTAGCAATTGGTTGGCCATTAATATCATCAATATTTGCCTGTTCATTAATAATGAATGGTTCAATATTTGATTGGTTTGATCAGAATTTACGTTTATATTGGCCCAGTGATTCACCAAGTTTTTATTTATATCGTTTTGGTGTTATACTTGAATGGTTAGTTATAATAAGTTATTCACCAATGTTATTTATTATTAGTAATCGTATGAAATTATTTAAATATTGGAATCGTATTGTTTATTAAAAAAAAATTAAAAAATCTTATTTATTTTTGTATTTTTTTGTAATTTTTTGTAATTTTTTGTTTTTGAATAAAAATCTTTTTCTTTCCCTTATAAAACACATTCATTCATTCATTTTAAATTTGAGCGCCCTCTATTGTCGACCAAATTCAATCGGTATTTTATTTTATTTTATTTTTTTGATGATTGATTAACAATGTTGTTTGTTTGTTTGTCGATTCGAATATTCGCCATTGCTTCCTCAATGTATTAGTTTTATTTTTTTTTGTTTGTGCGTACCGAATGTCTTATCAGTCAAACTGATAAATGAGTGAAAAAAAACATGCCAAGCATGTGAATGAATGAATGTAAAATCAAAGAAAGAAAGAAAATTTGATTGTTAATCTGAAACGACAAGGAATTCAAGTACCCAAATGATACAAATGCATTTTAAAATCATTTATAAGTTTTCGTATTTCATACAAAAATCTACATATCAAAATTTAGCTGGCTAACAAAAATGGAACAAAAATCAAATAATAATTTTTTAAATTTTGAACATTTTATTCGACAATTTGAACCAAATTTATGGATATTTCCATTTTTGGGTGGTTTAATATTGTTTTTTACATTAATATTATGGTAAGTATTCCAATATCCTTTTCTTTTTGATGATTTACTTTACTTTTAATTGATTTTTGTCTACAACAACAGTTATTTAGTAACATCATTCGTACAAGGTTATCCAGTATTTTGGTTGGTCAGTGATGTTGGTGCATCATCACCAGTATCCGGTTATTTTTCACAATCAATGGATTTGATTACCATTTTGTTTGCATTCACTATGTATCTTCGTTGTAAACAAATTGATTATTATATAAAGGAAATAATTCCCGAATCAAAAAATCATAAAGTTAACAATCCAGAAATGATCAGAATTTTAAATGAAAAAAATTATCAATCATTTAAATATGCTATTCTAAGCTCGATTGGTTTTATGATAATGGGAAATTTTGATAGTTTTGAACATATTAATGAACATGGTGTTGGTGCATTTTTTATGTTTGCTACAATACCATTCTTATTCTCACAGGTAAATAGTAACAAAATTGATTAAAATTTTGTGTAAATATTTTCTATTCTATTCATTGATTTTAGAAATTTATTGCCGATAAACTTTATGAATGTGATCAGATTGAACGACGTTCGGTTTTATTAACAATCATTACATATACGGTAGCAATTGGTTGGCCATTAGCAGCAAGCATATTTGTTTGTTCATTATGGCTGAATGGATCATTATTTGATTGGTTTAAAATGGAACAACGTTTATATTGGCCCAATGATTCACCAAGTTATTATTTATATTGTTTTGGTATTATCATTGAATGGTTAGTTATAATGAGCTATTCACCAATATTATTTATTCTTAGTAATCGATTTTCTACATTTAAACATTGGAATCGTATTGTTTATTAATGATTTTAATTATCATCATTTTTGTTTAATAAAACAAATTTTTTTTAAAAAAAAGGAAAAAACGATTTTCTTGTTTGTTTAAACAAGTACCCAGTTGTGTATGTTGATTTATAGAATGTTAATAGTGATTGTTTATTTTAAATGAATATTATGATGATAATCAGAAGCATGAATTGCATGTTTGTATTTTTTGGGAATATTTGTTTTAAATAATAAATGTCGTCATAGTTGAGATAGAAGGATAAAACAAAAAAAAAAAATACCTGAACCTGAAAATGCAATAGACCAATATATAATATGATAATCGTTGATTAATGACAAAATTTCACTTATTGTTTTTGTCGGTTTTTTTTTTGTTTGTTTGTCTGGAAAATCTTCCTTAAATGATTGATTTTCTTCACACGATCATCATTTTTCGTTTTCATTTGGGGTATATATAAATATATTCGATTGAGGAAAATAATAAAAAATAAATCTTCAATCTTCAATTCATTTTTTATATTCTATGTGAAATGATGATGGATTCAAAAATATTAACAAACAAAAAATTCTTTCGAATTATCAATTTGGATGAAATTTTTCATAAATATCATACATATTTATGGATAATGCCATTATTGATTAGTATAATGATTATTATAACATTACCTTTAACCTATATGATGGCTGTATTTATTGGTGATCGATATACAATATCATTAGTTAGTGATGCTGCATCGGCTGCACCATTTAGTGGTTATTTTTCATTATGTACTGATATTATTGCCATTTTATTCATTATAACTTCTTATATACGTTGTAAACAAGTGGAATTTTTTCTAATCAAACAATTCAAACTAAATAATAATAACGATGATATTGTTGATGATGATGATGATGATAATGGTAATAATAACGAAGAAGATGATACAACAACAACCGATGAACATAGAACAAATGGTTACCTAAAAAAATCGACAAAAACTGAAGAAAATTTCCAAATAGATGAAGAAATCATTGCCAAATTAAGTTGGCAAAATTATCGTTATTTTATATGTATGATTTTAGTTGCTATTGGTTTGACATTTGTTGGAAATTTTCCCTGTAATTATCATCCATTTCCACATGCTTTCGGTGTTGTATTGATATTATTTTCATTGATTGCATTTTATGATCAGGTAAGATTATTAATGTAAAGTAAATGTCATTATAAACAAAATTTTTTATAAATAATAGATTTACATATGTCAAAAGCTATATGAATTTGATCGAATCGAAAGTCAACCAATTTCAATGACAATTTTATCATGTTTAATTATAATCGGTTGGTTTATTGCAATTGCAACCGGTTTAATAGCATCATTTCAACAAGAATCAAAAATTTTAACATTAATGAATAATGATTTACGTATGAAATGGACTGATGAACAACCAGGTTCACAATGGTTTAAAATAACAGTATTAGCTGAATGGATAACATTTTTATTGTATTCACCAATTTATCTTATGTTAACTAATCGTATGAAACAATTTCATAATTGGCAAAAAATTTTTACAAATTAAAACACAATATATCGATTGATTTTTACTCACAACAACAAAAAAAATGTCAAATTTTTATTTCTTTCCTTTTTTCAAATCGATGATCGATCATGATAATAATCAAATATATTCAATAATGGATGGATGGATGAATGAATTGGAGGGGGATGTTTCAATGTGTTTTTCATAATGATAATGATGATTAGAATGAAATAAAATATAAGATTTTCTTTTTTTGTTTCTTCACAAAAAATCAAGCAACAATCAATGTTTTTTTATTTTAAAAAAAGAAAAAAAAATCAAAACAAAATATCGATATGATGATGATGAGTACTTAATGAGTAAAATCAAGAATAATAATTCTCGTTGACAATCATTCAACTTATGGTTATTATTATTTAGATAATAATGATAATGTTCTCTAATAAGAAAAATGTTTAGCTAAAAAGAGAGATAATTTATATTTATAATATGAGTATTATTATTTTTTCGTCTGTTTGTTTGTTTGTTTGTTTGTAATTTGGTCATGTCATATGTGTGTAAGGTGAATTAAAAAAAAAATAGCTTTCCATAAATATCGTTTTTCCTGTTTTTATTTTATTTTTCAGCAGAAATAAAAAGGCAAGCAAAAAATGTTAAGAGATGCTGTATGATGATTATGATCCAGGGTCGAACCAAATCAATTTTTTTTTTTTTTGAAATTCTGTTTGCGTTTGTGCGTTTAATTGGCGGCTATTCGATTTGATTATTTATTTGGAAAAACAAAACAAGAAAAATAACTGATTGACTGACTGTAGCTCTCTTTATTGCGATCGGGTTAATTTCAAACAACAAACATTGACCAAACAATAACCGTATCAGTTTTTGTGTTTTGAAGGAATCCCTGATGACCACAGAATCAAAAAGAAGAAACCACAAAAGAATTGAATTCGTGATTGAGCTTTCATTTTTTTGGTTGTGACATTTGAATTCTGAGAAAATCAAAGAATTTCTTTTTAACACTTCTTCTTCTTGATGATGACGTGTAGACGATATAAGAGAGAGAGAGATCAATGTTAATTTCATCATTTGAACAAAAAGCAAAAATTACTTTGTTTCTTTCATTCAAAACGAGAATATCATGCACCGATGCTGTTGAATCTAATTTATTTTGCTGATTTGATCTAATAACCTAAACTAATCTAATAATTTTCTATTGATTTTCTAATTGATTTACAATTGATAATTCAAAGGTTTCCCTGGATCATTCATTTTTGCATCTCAGAAAAAATTTTCTAATACTTTTTGTTCATTGTGTGTGTGGTGTTTGATTGTTGATTGTTTGTTGTTCGTAATATTTTTAACGGAAAAAAAATGAATGGATCAAAATCTGAGAAAAAATGATGAGATTCTTATGTTGTTTTTTTCAGGTTTGGTGGGTGAGTTTTTCAATGTTTGAATTCGATAAAAAGTTTTTTTGAGAAAAGAAAAGAAAAATGACATTCGAAGACATCTTGAGATCAGAAACAAAATTTTGGTTTTTAAGTTTTTAGTTTTTTAGTTTTTGGTTCCGCTTGTTTCGTAATTTGAATGGGAAAAAAATTTTTTTTTCAGAGTATTTTCAATGAGTATCAATCGATTGATTGGAGGATGATTCTGGAAAAAATATGATAATTTTTGGTGGATTTGAATGAAAGTTTGAGTATTTTTTCTTTTAGGTACTGTTTGTTTGTGTGTGAATGTGTGTATTTTTTTCAAATGATGATGATTATGATTATGATGAAAAGATGAGAAGAAGAAAAAACAATGAATGAAAAACATAAATGAGAAGAAGAAGAAGAAGAAGAAAATAAAAACAATCGATAGATTTTCTTTTGGTGGGTAATCAAAGTGAATGAATGAGAAAAATTGCAGAAAATTGCAGAAAAATTGCGTTGATCAACGAGATGGTAAATATTCATTGAAAATCGAATCAATCGATAAACCTTGAACATGCTTTTTTCCATTTACATTGTGTACACCATAATTGACGATTATCCATACCATAAACTTTACGACATTTACGTGATTCACCACGTGGTTTTCGATTATTATTCGTAGTGGTAGTATTTCCCGTATTTCCGTTCATATGATTATTTGAAAGAGGAGGATGTTGATGTTGATGTTGAGAATGAGGATGTTGATGATGTTGATGAGCAGCAGCAGCAGCAGCAACAGCAGCAGCATTATTTAATGCACCCATTGTTGCAACTAATCCTTTTAATGAACCAAAAAGATGATGATGATGATGAGCATCATGATGGTGACCAGTGGTAAATGGTGAAAGATGATGATTAAGTGGATGATGATGAGGATGTGGATGATGTGGAGAAGAATGTAGTGGATGAAATGCTGATGTTTTTTCCATATGATTAAATGATCCATGATTATGTGGATGATTTTTCGTTATTGTTTGATGTTGATGATGATTACGATGATGATGATGAAGATGATGATTATCATTATTATTGTCATTTTGATGATGATTATGAGGATGATGATTTGATGGTGATAATGATGCAGCAATCGATGCTATAAATGGTGTTGCATTCAATGGATTCATTGCACAGATTAATTGCTGTTGTTGTTGCTGCTGTTGATGTAATAATAATTTTTTCTTTTTATTTGTTGAACCAGGTGGACGTCCACGTCTTCGTGGTAAAATTGGTGTTATCGTTGTTGCCTGATTCGAATGCATATGATGGCCATTTGTTAACAATGGTAAACCATTATGTATTAGATTACTATGATTAGGCACTATCGATGATGAATGACCAGTAGCAGAATGATTATTGACAACATTACCATTGGTAGGCCTCATCGTTGTTGTTGTTGCTGAAACTTGAGGCGATGGTGGTGGTGGTGGTGTTGATGAAATATTTTCCTGAAGAAGATGATGATTATATTGAAATGAAGGAAGTGTATTGGTATGACTTATTGATGCGGACGTAGTTGCAGTGACAGATGCTGATGCTGAAGATGATGATGATTTTTCAACATTTTCAATCAATTTCCTTATATTTGTCACATTATCATCAATCATTTTAGTATCATTGTTGGTGATAATGGTAGATGTCAATGACGACGACGACAACGATTGATTAATAATATTTGTCGATGATGATGATGATGATGATGGTTCTATGGTACGACCATATTTAATCACATTCAATGATTTATTATTATCATTCAACATCGATACAATCGATGTTTGATTATTATTATTATTAAAATGTTCATTATTTTTCGTTGAATTTTCATTTAGTTGTTGTTGTTGTTGTTGATGGTGATGATGATGATTATTGCTGTTGCTGCTACTGATGACATTACCATTATTCATATTCGTTTGACTATTATTAATATTATCATATTGAGCTGACCAGGATCTTATCGATGATGTTGGTGATGATGATGAAAAATAAGCTGATGTTGATGACGATGATGATGATGATGATGATGATAATGATGATGGTGATGCAGATGAAAAATTTGTTTGAGGATGTTGATGAAACATTTTTGGTGGTATTATGGAAGCTGTTGAAATAGTCATCATTGATGATGTATTGTTATTGGTGGTGGTTGTCGTCATCGTTGCTGATGATGATAATGATGTATTGGTGGTGGTGGTATTTAACGGCAGTATCGACATTGAAGATGATAATGAATTCGAACGTGCTGATAGATCGATTGGACCATCTTGATGATGATCAATAAGAATATCATTTAAATTTTCATTTGAAACTAGATTCGTTGTTTGACTATTATTTATTGATTTAGATTTCAATGATTTTCGATTATGAATTTTATTTATTTTACCATCATCATCCATCATTTCATCGATATCATCAATATCATCGACATCATCATGATCGACATTTACTTCGTTATCATCATCATCATCATCATCATCGTGATGATCGGCATCAAGAATTTCCATTTCCGTATAATAAAATTCTTCTTCATGATCGCTAAGATCACCACCACCACCGCCATTGATCGAACCACTTTCGATATCGATGGTACGATTTTTATCATGCTGAAAATCATTGATCATCGATGATTTGCTGTTGTTGTTGTTGAATGTCTTTACATTTTCATCAGCCATTTTTGTTGATCGACTAAATTAAAATAGAGAAAGAAAAAAAACGAAAAAGAAAAACAAAAAAAAACCAATTTGATCAATAAGGGTGAAAATAAACAAACAAAACAAAAACAAAAAGATTAAGATTCTGATTCTGTTTTTCAAATGATAAATCCATCCAGGAAGTCTAGAAAACCAAATCAAATTAAAGAATTATTTTCGAATCAGGAATTCATATGAATAATCATGAGAAAAATTAACTGACTGACCAACTGACTGACCGAACGAGCGAAAACCAATTAGTAATCGCGATTCCAGGGGATAAGATCAAGAAGAAATAGAATCTTTTCCTGCTTTGCTCGGTTTGGTTTGGGCTTGTTTGTGTTCGTTATAGGATTGTTATGAAGTGAATGTTTTTGACACTTTTTTGGATTGTGATTCATTGAAAAGAATAAGAAGAGAAAAAAACAGATTCGGCATAGAAATCAAAAAAAGAAAAAGAAAAAATCTTTGACAAAAATATTATGAATTATAATAGGAAAAAATATCAAACAATCGAATTTTTTTTGAAAATCGATTGTATCGAGAATTTCGATTGTTTGCTCACTTTCAACACCAGAAAATTTTTGTTTTCTTTTCTTCCTGTTGTTGTTTGCCTTTTTCAATTTGACATTCTGCATTTTTTTCTGTTTTGCATTGTTGAATTGAATTTGAAGAAAAGAAAAGAATTTCATCAAATTCACCAAAAAAAAAAAATACAATAAAAACATTCAATAACATGCATGCATAGAAAAAATCTTTTCAAAAACAGAAAAATTCTGGATCAGAATTTTTTTGGAAAAAAAAAGTATTTTTTTTATTCAACAAATTCTAAATGCTTTTGGGTGTAACAGGATTCCGGATCATTTTTTTTATATTCCATTTCGTTTCCATTTCAATTGAAAAGAGGTAGTCCCCCGAAAAATAAAAAAATGTTTTCAGGTTGAAAAGATTTTTAAAATTTAAAAAATGTCAATTTTCGTTTCGTTTTTGGGTGAAAATCGGTAATAAAATTGGTAATACCGTAAGGGCAAGTGAGAAAAAAAAAATATTTTTCATTTTCAATTCGATCTTTTTATGCCTGATTCGTTTTTCGTAAAAGGCCAAATACGAAAAAAATGTCAATTCAAAACTAAAAGCCTGAAGTCATTTTCATTTTGGAGTTTTTTTTTATTATTCATCATTTTCGTCACTATTTTCTTCTGGGCTGACAATCACAGCATGTTTCAAAAAGGTGAAATTCATTCATTGAAATCGATATTACAGGACCAGAAATATATTGAATCAATAACAAATAGATCAGATTAAGAGTTTTTTTCAATATGCAAAATGCAAAATGAAAAAAAGCAATTTGTTTCAAATTCCGATTGAATAATCACAATGAATGAATGAAAGTATCTCTTCGTCAGAATTTGATTCGTTTCTTTTCAATTCAATTCGCAAGTTTGCAAATGTGATTTGCATCGAAAAGATTCTTCACTCACTCACTCACTCACTCTCTTCGATTCAATCAAAACATTTTATTATTTTATTCATAAAAGAAGAAATTCTGTGTGTGTTAACACATCAATATCCAAGTGAGAAATAAAAAAACAAGTTTATCCAACAAATTATCATCAACACACAAACATTTGTTTAACACACACATTGTCTCATCACCTAAAATATGAAAATAATCAAATAAATAAATACACCTCGAGCATGATGTCTTTTTTATTTCGTTCGATTCTATTTCCACCTAAAAAGGTTCGTTTCACTTTTGTATACAACAAATATTTACCGACCGAACATCATCAACACTGAGGCTAAAATGTCAAACATAGTTTGTGAAACACACGAAACAAAACAAAGCAAAAAAAAAACATTTTTCGAGGTGGCCCGGGATTTCATTTTTATTTTTTGCTTGTTCGCCGAAAGCCGAACATCTTTTATTTTATTTTATTTTTTTTGTTACCGAAGAACACACACACACGCCATTTGATTTGATTTTTTCATGGCAAAAAACTCTCAACAAATTCAATGAATAAAAATCGATTTGATTAAATTAGACAAATGTACCACACACACACACATCATGAAATGAAATTATTCTGGAACTGACGCCATATAGCAACAGAACAGAAGAAGCAGCAACCAATTCGGACAACATTCATAATAGAATTGTGCTTTCGGGCAAATAACCCCAGAATCAGGAATCGGGAAAAAAACCAAGAAAAACCAAGTTTGTATCAAGTGAATCAAATGTACATTTTACTGTGTTTGTGTATGTGCAAGTTTACTTCTTCTTGTTATTATTAATTAAAAAATATTCAATGTATACATTTTTCATTATTAATCATTTTTTCTGTTTACATTTGATGATTGTTTTTTTTCTGCTAAAATTCTGTCAAATTGACACATTGAAATTCCTAACGAGAAATTCAAACAAAAAAATTCGGTAATCTACGACTAGATGGCGTAACTGGTACTACATTCGGAAATAATGATGTTTTTGATTTTCATCGTCGTTACACAGAATTCTGACATTTTAAATGTGAATGGAGGGTTAGTACAAAGAATTTTCTTTTTTGGTAGTTTTTTTTATTGGTGCCTGGAGACACATTCAATGCAGCAGCAGCAGGCCAGCAATTCCAGCAAAAGAAAGAAAATTGTATCAATTTCATTTCATCATTTTGAAATTGAAATGATCAAATTATTGCAACATTCTGGAATGGAGAGCGAACTCCAGAACGAAAAAAAAAGATTTCTTATTACATTTTGACTGTTGTATGAGTGAGGAAAAACTAATCGTAATAACCCATAATGGGCCATCATTAAATGTTTTTTTCTTCTTCTTCTTTTCCATTACAAACACACACACATACAAAAAAAAAATCATTTATTGGATAAAGGTCATCGAACATAAATGAATGGAAAGAATGTTTTCAATCATTCATTTGGCTTCCAAGAATTTCAAGAATAAAATACTATGTAACCAAGAATCTAATGGAAAGTCGAAATGAATAAAATGATTGAACACCGGATCCATAGGATCACCGTCTGATCAAGAAGACAGATCAATCGAGACATAATACTAACTAACTAAACACCTTGGAGACAATTGAAATGATCATCAATAACAACAACAACAACAACAAAATCGATTGACACCTTTAGGGAAAAAAATCAATCTAAATCAGCGGATTCTAAACTGAACAAGAAAAAACATCACCCTTTCAAATGAATTTTTCTTCTTTCTTTCTTTTGTCTCGAAATGAAATGAAATGCGATCGGAATTTGTCAAACAAACAAACAAAAAATGTTTAGAAATTTGAATCTAATTGTGTAACGAGGGCTCTTTGGTCATCCAGAAAAAAAAAGAAAAATCTTGACAAGCTGGATAATTAAACTTTTGGTTGGTTTGATTTTGGTTTTTGTTGTTGTTTTTTGGAGGAAAATTATTCTGAACTGGTGATGGACAGTTTTTAGAGCTTTTCAGGGATCATTCTTTTCCACTATGGACCACCAACATCAACAACACTCAAGTAAATTATCTCGTTGGCAATTTGCAACTTGAACTAAACTTAGCAGAATTACAAATACAGTGAATGAATGAATGATTGGTGACCGAGAAGAGATTTTGTACTTTGGTTTGTTCTTTTTCTGCAGTTTTGTTTTTAGTTAATTAAAAGTTCAATCGATCAATCAAAGTGTGTGTGTGATTAAAAACATTTGAGAAAAACAAACAGACATTCACAGACACACACACACACACACACACAGGAGTCAAAGAATTGGTTTTTCCAAAGAAAATGACCATTGGTTATTTGCAATTTAATTCGAGTGGCCATCGATTGTCATCATCATCTTTAACTTTATTTTTTTTTTGAATGAAAATTTTCAAGTAACCAAATCGAATGTCAACACTGTCTGTGTCAGAGAAAGTGAAGAAAAATGGCCAGTCAAGTCAAAATAGTGCGGATGTCTGTAATGGTGAATTTGAGGTACAAAGAATTCAGAAAATTCTGTTGATAAGTCTCAAGACTATTTTGACTAAAGTGGTTTTTTTTGGGAAAAATTTCAATTATCCCCAAAAAAAACGAAGATTTTAAAATTGATTTTAAAATAATAATGATTTCAAGCGAACCAAAAAAAAAATCAAGGATGATTATCATTATTATTATGAAATGAAAATGAAAATGTTAACTTGGGAATTCGAGTAAAAACGAAATTTTTTCCATATCATCATCATTATCATCATATTATGATTCTGGGATGGTAAAAAGCGAAAAAACTCATCAAAAAATTGAATATTGAATGGCGAAAAAGCGTAAAAAAATTGATTATATTGTGATAATATTTACCAAAGTATAATTTAATTTCACTTTTCCACTTTTTTTCATTTTAGGAAAGAAAAAAAAATCTATTTCAACCCTTTCAAACAATAAAGTAATAACTATTTTCATTCATTCATATTCATTCACTTCAAATATGATAATAATAATAATAAATTTTCATTCATTTTTCAGATTTTTTTTTTCGTTTTGTTTCATTCTTTGATAAAAGGAAAAAAAACTAATGAAAATCATTCATTGATGTGCAAAATGAATTTCTTTATCATTATTTGACAAAAGACCAAAAAAAACCATGTGGATGAAAATAGCCATCACAAGAGATACTTTTGATGGTTGGATGATGATTATGATTATGATGAAGAAGCTAAAACAAACACCACAAACAAATCAATGACATTTTTTGATTCCTGAAAAACAAAAAACGGATATGAAAACTTTTTCTCCATGTCAGTTGCCTGACTTTTCAATGAATTTAAAGACGAAATTAATGAATAAAATACACTTGACGATGAAAGTATGAAATCAAAAAAGGTAAAGTGGAATCTAGAAAAAATAATAATAACTGACTCTCATCTTGTTGATGATGATGGTCAATATAATTAAAACTAGACTTGAATGAGAATTGAAAAGTAAATGTTGATAATGATGATGATGATGGAAATATTTCTGGGATAAAAAAAACAATTTTATTCCAGGAAAATTTTTCCAGACTAGATAGACAAATGGTGTCTGATGATGATGATGATGATCAAAGAATAAACAAAGAATCAACAAACATCAAGCATCAAGCATCAACAGTAAACATTGTATCATATGAAACAGAACAATGTATAAATAATAGGATGATATAATAATCATTATAATGATGATGATGATGATGATAATGAAATAATTTTAAAAAATTAATTTTAAATTACATTCTCTCTCTCTCTCTCTCTCTCTCTCTCTCTCTCTCTCTCTCCAAATAAAAAAAATTTTTTTTTTCTGTTTGTTTTTTTTTCTCTGTTTTTTTTTTCTTTTGTTATTGTTTTTTTTTCGTAATTTAAATCTGTGATTTTGAACCAACAATTACTGAAGATGCCCTATCCAGGGCTAAAAGATATCTCTAATGATACAAGGTGCTATTTATGTGGTCAATCCTTTGAAAAACCTTTTGGTCTACGGGTTCATATTGGAAGATGCCATCCTGAATGGAATCAAAAATTGATAATTGAACGAAAGTATCCGTCATTGATGACGTCGAGGCCTGATATTCGCGGCAATGGCATTCCAAATATCGTTCCACAATCCACGACATTTTCTCCAAATTCAATTAATCATCTGTGCAATGTTAATAATAATGCGTCTACTACATCATCGTGTACTACTATGTCATCAACCACTACCACATCTGTTATACTGGCGGGAAACAATAGTATTCAAATTTCTTCTTCCAACAACATTTCCAATTCACCTAATGCTATTGTTACTGCGTTGACCGCTACATCATCATCATCTGTCCCTGCCTCATCTGTTACAACGGCGGGAAATAATATTCAAATATTTTCGGATAACACTCAAAATTCGACCAGTGACAATAATACTGCGGTTACCGATACATCATCAACATCTACCATTGCCTCATCTGTAATGATGACGGTGAATAATGATAATTTCGATCAAGCAAATGATGGTAATAGTCCAACGACTGATATTTCTCAATCTTCAGAAGTAAATAATAATGAGTTTAGTAACCATTGGTGCAATAAGTTTGATTCTGTTCTTTCAGTCAAAAATGACGGTTTATTCGATTCCACATGTAACGATTTCGTAAAGTCTCTTCTTAATGTTGCATCCGATTTAAAAGGCCCGAAACATCCGGCGCAAAGATATTATCAATATAGGAAAAATGGTTTACCATCAACTAGACAAGCTGGTTATAGTAGCGCTAGTAATCCTCTTAGAGCCAGAAAGGCAAAAAGCAAACGAAATAAAGAAAAATATCAATACGAAATATGTCAATTTGAATATTATAATAGAAGGCGTAAAGTTTTCCAACGATTGAACAAAACAGATGGTAATAAAGCCTGTACAGCTTCAAATGCCGATATTGAACATCATTTTAAGAATAAATTTGAATCTATCAATCCCAACATATTAGATAATTATATTACGTATAGATGCGACGATACGCTTGAGTTTTTCACAGTTGATGATATATCATTGGCGGCTAAAAAAATCAATTTGGATACGGCACCTGGGTGCGATAAAATTTTGATGATATATATACGCAAGCTAAATTGTTTGCCTGTAATTTTAAAAATTGCAAATGTCATGTTGAAATGGTCATATGTACCTCAAATATTTCGTGAAGGAAGAACAATTCTTATCCATAAGTCTGGTGACGTTAGCGATGTTAATAATTTCCGCCCTATCACGATATTCTCTGTCATTCGAAGAATTATTGAACGTATGATTGATGCCAAAGTCCGACAAAGTCTATTCATTAATCCAAATCAAAGAGGTTTTACATCCTCACCTGGTGTTAAAATTAATACGGCTATAGTAGAGTCATTGTTGACTGATGCCAAAGTGAATAAGAAAGATTTGACAATTTGCTTCTTAGACGTGTCAAAAGCGTTCGATTCTGTTGGACATGATCATTTGATGAAAGTCATAAATTCTAGTTCTCTTAATGTTCATCTGAAGAAGCTGTTACATGAACTAATTACAAATAATTCAACATCAATCAATATTAAAAACCAGAATACCGGTACCATCCATCTGAAACGTGGTGTAGCTCAAGGTGCTCCAACATCGCCCTTGTTATTCAATTTATCGATCAATTTTATTATGAATGAATTAACAGAAAATATTATTCAAAGTTCTTACGGGTATTTTCTGGGTGATTGGATCTCTGCCATCGCTTTTGCTGATGATTTAGCAATAATTGGAAATAATGATCAAAATGCCGCTGCACTGGTTGAAATAGCTAAATCTAACTTCGAGAAAATCGGTTTATCCGTTAATTATTCCAAAAGCAAAACCATATCACTAATTAATGGTATCATTAACACATCGAGTGTGAGTTCCGGGTCAAATTTTTTTGATTCAATCGAAAAACTGAAAGATAATGAACGTATCAAATATCTTGGTATTGATTTTAATTCGCAAATCGTCTTGGACAAATCTGCTACGCTGCAAAAGTTATATTCTAGACTCAACTGTCTAGCCAATTCACCTTACCTACATAGCGATCAAAAAATTAATCTAATTAATAAATATATTTTTCCTTCGGTTGTTTTTCCAATCGAAAATGCTCCATTGAATCAACTATCAATGGACTTCTTAATGGACATAGACAAAGCTATTCGTTCGGCGGTAAAAAGTATAATTCAAATTCCAAATGATACGCCTAATGAATTTTTTTACGCGGACAAGAATTTCCGTGGGCTAGGTCTAATTCGTGCCACTTGGGAATCTTTTATTCAACATATCAATTCATGCAAACTATTAGATAGAGCTAGGATTCCACAAGTGGACATAACAAGAAATCTTAAAGATGAGGTCGTCCAATGTTTCGAGAAAATAGGGTTGGAAGCCCATAATGTGGATGATTTTAATTTGATCGATTCGAAAAGTATTCGTAATGATTTGAGGACCAGAGCTTTCGAGCAATGGTGCAGACTTCCGGTCAAAGGTGCCGGAGTCGTTTTATTTAAAGAGTCGCCTTGGACAAACCAATGGCTTTTTAATAGAAAAAATCTATCATTGTCCCAATGGACAAATGCTATTAAAATGTCGACCAATTGTGTACCAGTTCGATCCCTTCCAGGCCGTAGTATGGATGGCAGCTCGTGTAGAACTCAGTTCTGCGCGAAGACAGAAACCCTTAGCCACATCCTACAAGCGTGTTCAAAGGGGGAATCGTTGCGTATCATTCGACACCATCAAATTTGTGATAAAATTAAGGACTGTTTGACAAGCCACGGGTTCGAGGTTTACCGTGAGGTCCACTGTATTGATGCTAATGGGTCGAATCGGAGAGCTGACATTATCGCCATCGATCGGAACAAAAATTTTGGTATCATATTAGACCCGACGATCCGGTTCGAAAGGGATGAATCTCAAGCGATGAATGTCGATATTGAAAAAAGGGACATTTATACACCTTGCCTCAATTTCTTGGGGAGACACTACCAGATCAATAATTGGGTAGTTCAGGGCTTGCTGTTTGGCGCCCGAGGGTCTATTCCCACCTTCACGGTGGATGTGTTAAAAAAAATCGGAATTTTTAACAAAGAATTCATTACCGATTTATCATTATTGATCATCCAATCTTCATTAAAAATTGTTCACAATCACCTGTATGGTTGATTGTTTTGGTTGATTGTATTTATATTTATATTTTATTTATTTTATTTATTATTGTTATCATCATCATTTTTTTTTTCTTCTTTTTTTAATATGTATTCACTGTGTTAGAAGCAACTCCAGTTAGGAGCAGTTAATAAAAGTTGTTCTCTCTCTCTCTCTCTCTCTCTCTCTCTCTCTCTC